GTGGATATAATCAATGTTAATTATTATTTTCATTCATTATAATGAAATCATATGAAATATCATAGCGTTTTAACACATTCCCTCTCTTCTGTTTTTCAGAAAATAAGTTTTCCTTGAGAGACACCTGTGTGTGTTTTTTGAGCTAGAATCTGTTTACATCATAATGATAATAAATAATAACAATACATTTTATTTGTAGGTGCCTTTCTTGTCACTCAAGGTCACCTTACATTGTCAATCATGGGGGAGTCATAACGTCTGAGAGATCTACAAAACACTTCTGAGAGCTGAGAGACCACACAAAATGTCTTTGTGCAACACTTTCAGTTTGTTTTTGTCCCCATCCTGATGTGTTCATCTGACGTCCGTCGTTATTCCTGATCAAATAAACATGTTTGCTCAGTTACAATGTTTTGTAAAGTAGAAGATAAGTTGTAAAATAACTAAGTTAAGTTTTTCTCACTGCAAGACTCACCTTGACGGTCTAAAGTGTGAGACGGCTGTAGATGAACAGATGCTGGGATGTATTCATCATTTAACGCGAGTTCCTCATTTTTCTGGACTGAATAAAACGTGCATTGAATTTAAGGAAATGCAAAGTGAGACGTCATTTAAATTTGACCCATCAAAATGAATGCGGTCATTTATTTACAGAATCAAATTTAACATCAAACATTTACATTAATTTGGCAAATTATGAAAATAACAACAAAGCAATCAATCAGGAAAAATCATACGGCCATGATTTCTCCGTTGCTGCACCAACAGACATTTATAACTGTACAACTATGATCTTTTACCCACATGAATGTGGGTAAGCACTTTACACAGACATTTCTAAATATCTGGGAGAATTTCTACTTGATAGAAAAGTTTAAGATGAAAGATGAAGTTTAAAGGGAGTAAAGGATGGGGTTTGAGGGAAATTGAATGGTCACCAGAACCGGCACTCTCCATCAGAAGCCCAGCTCGCCTCGGTACGCTTGGTAGGAAACTTGACCCATTACCTCTCTGATGATAATCAGCAGATATGGTGTTCCGTTAACGCTACCGGTCCAGCGTCTCCTTAGAATGGCTGTTGCCCGTCAGAAGTAGTGGCGAGGCTCTGTTCGACACACATTCACCTCAGTGGAAAATGTTATAATCCCATGGAACTCGGAAGAGCTTCGTTGTCATGTCAGGAACTCCAACAGCACTCCATCAGAACTTTAGCTCTCGTGTAGTTTACAGAACTCCCACAGAACTCTTGAAGTCTGACAACTCTCCAACTCTGTAACTCCGTGAGTCTCTGAGTCCGTAACTCAACTCTGTGTGTACCTGTAGACCAGGAAG